AAGTCAATGCGGCAGATCTCAAGCTGACGGGACAAGAGGCCTTCCAATTGGCAAATCTCGAGTTTTTTTTGGGGGGGGGGGGCGGAAATTCGTCCAGGAACTGCCTGATGCGCTGCCAACAGCTTCAGCCTGGTCACCTAAACTCTGCCTGGCACAGGTCTTTACCATCCTCAGGCTCGCACTCCCAAACCCATAGGCTTCACTTTCTCACCATCTTTCATGTACCTGCTCTACCAGCCTTCTCATTACGTACAGGCTGAAATAGAGTTGGCAGCAATTCAGAACTGCGAGTATGTCAAGACCTCCAGCTCGCTGTAGACGAGCAAGTGCCGGGAAATCATCATTTGGAATTCTATGGTCAGCTGCCCTTCCTGCCTCCCCCCTCAGCTGCCTCCCCAACCGAAGACAGAGTAGCCGTCTCACCAATACGCCTCTTACCAAGTCTGGACCCTTGAAGGGCTACACATCTATGATTAGGGAAGCGGTGGCAGAGTGGGCTCGGTGCCCGTTTCCAGCTTGCCTGGCACCTGGCCAGCGGCTCAGCCACCGACTTAGGCAGGCTCTCCTTGACCTGCTCCTCTGGCCTGGCATTGAGCGCACAATTCATTGATGCTGTGGGTGACGACATGAATAACCGGTGCTGTCCGAGTCTTTCCACAGAAGCCAGTGTGATTGCTCAACCCCACCGTCCGTCCACACTTCAAGGGGTAAATTTGAACACAATGAGTGCACTCCGCGTGACTGGAGTAGAAGTAATATTTGCCACAAGTACAATTTCCGGGGTTTGACGCGCTCTGCTTGGACCAAAGTCCACAAGTGTTGGCGATTTCGCTCCTGTCGATATTCGGCATGATGAATCAAGAGTGTGTAATACAAGCCGTTTAACCCTTGAGCAGTTTGATGTGACTCAGTTCAGACCTCCACATTCGTTTCTTCCGAATATGCCGATCATGATTGACAGAAAATCGCGATTTCTATGGACTAGTGGGATGCAAATACCAGGAAGCGAGTCCATCACTTGGTATGTTCTGGACTGGGATCGAAGACAAACATTCTCAGTTACCTTTGATGGCGACTTAGATTCTGGAGACTTGGCGATTGGTATGTTTAATTCCCGGGCAAGCCCGCAAAACTAAATTGTACAAAGCACAATTTGGCCATACTCAGGTGCATCGGAATTACCTTCACCCTGTCGGAACAGTCTAACACAGATTGTAGAATATTTGAGACGGCATGTCGACAGCCTTGGGCCCGACGTCCACGCTATTGAAGTATCTCAGGATGGCGAGCTGGTGAAAGTCTCGTCCAAAGCTAATGATGACGAGACACGTTACCCTTTCTTTCCACTGCTCCAGGATCTCCAAAAACCAAATGAAAAGCTTTCAAATACAAAGAAGCCCGGTATACGGAAGCCAAGGACACAAAAGTCGAGGATTCAAAGGCCAAGGGTACAAACAGTCCTCCGTGCAGAATTGTGTGAGCTGGATCGTCTCGGCCCTGAAGTAGACTTGGCATTATATCGAAGTCAGAAAGTAGTATTTAAGTACTATTTCTGGGCACGGCGACTAATATACCTATGGAACGAATTAAACATATCAGCACATCTTCCACCACACCCAAATATTGTACCATTTCACCGGGTAGTAGTTGAGAAGCTCCAAGGACAAGAACACATAGTAGGCTTCACTACAAGATATATTGCTGGTGGCACCCTAGCTGCACTGGCAGAGGGCCGCTATGTATTCAAACTAAAATGGCTTAAGTAACTCCTAAGTGTTATCGACGACCTCAATTACAAGTATGGTATTCAACACCAAGACGTTGCCCCACGGAATATTGTTGTGCATAAAGCTACGGATAGTATTATGCTCTTCGACTTCAACGTCTCAGCCCGTATCAACGCTCCATTTGACCCTCGACTTGAAGGGACAAACTTTGATGAGCATCGCAATGATGTCAAAGGCGTTATATTCACTTTATACGAGATTATCACCCGCGATCAGCACTTTCGGAATGTGGAACCTAGCATGCAGAACGTTTTCAGCGTACTAAACATTGACTGGGTAAAACATCCGGATATCCGGCTGGATAAGCCTTTAGGAACTTATAGAGACGTACTTAACGCATGGGTACAAAGAAGAAAAGAAAAAGAAAATATCACTGATAAATCCAGCTTTATCAACTGGCCAGATCTTCCAAAGCCTCCTAGGGAATCGATGGAAGGGCGGGAGGCTAGAGCCAATAATATTCAGGTAGTCGAGTGGAAGCGACCAGCACAGGAAAAGATCAAGGAAGGCATGTCCGTATTTGCAGATGGCACGGTCACCAAAACAGCTAGAAAGGCGTAGAAGGCACCTAAGACCACCTAGTCAATCATAGCATAATAATTACATGTTTGGCTTCCGAATGTCCCAATGCCCAATGCCTCAGGGGACGGCACCACAATCGAAGGATTATCACCGCTTAATTAAACAGAAGACTTGCTTCGGAGACACGTTACTTTAATCAAAGGTCTAAATCTTGGGAGTCCCGTCAGCCCACCTGCCTCTGCTTACCTCCGTTGGCCCAATAGCTCGGGTTACGTCTTTCAATTGGCATTTGCCCTTTGCGTTGCCGTCTCCGGAAAAGAGATCGTGTTGCCATACTTGCTATTGCTAGTGAGGCAGCTTCTTCGACGCCTTGGTCGGCGAAATCCTTGGCGAAAGACTTAAAAAGGCCGCTGAGGTTCTTGAGTCCGCGTTTCTCGGAAAAGTCCCCCACGGATTGTTCCTTTTTGCCTTTCTTGTTGGCCTTGTGGAAAGCATTAGTGTCAGCCGTAATGCCGGTCTCGGTATACTCGAATTCTTTAGTCCCTTAGTTCTTTTGCTATTGATTATTGCGGAAGAGCAAGGTGGATTGCTTGTACTTTCTGTTATGTTTAATTGTGTGGGCAAGCTTTAGTGCAATATTTGTTGCGGTATTAACCTTGGATCTGTCCTCTCCGGTGGTATCCCCAGTTTCCTCTACGTTGTCTCATCCGGGTCAGCTCCGAAATAACTGTTGTTTGTCACGAAAATTTCCTAGTCTAAGTCGGGCTTGTCGGGATTATCTCTCGAAGACTTAATCTCATTGTTGTCGGAGTCGTTATTGGTAACCCCCTCGGTATAATCTTTGGATAGATATTGGGAATCTTGCTCGGTATTCTCGTCGGATAGATCTTGAGAGTCTTATTTAGTGTCTGCCTCTGGGCTCACCGCTGTGTCTTCTGTAGAAGGGTTTAAGGAATACTGCTTTTTAATATCCCCGGCCTACTTTTCTTGTCCTCTGTTGAGGCCATTGCCGCTGTTATCACCAGTAGACTTTAAAAATTTAGTATTTGACGGTTTGGACTTAAACGATTTGGGCTTTTACGATTTGGGCTTGGAATAGCTGAGCTTGGACACACTGATTTTTGGGGAATTGGACTTGAATAGTGGCTTTGCTTGAGTAACAAGCAGTATATGAGAACGGTTGCCTAATTCCTTGTTTAGGTTGATTGGAATATTAAGAGCGACGGAATTAAGGTCGGAAGGATGCTTAAATGCTTAGTTGTGACTTAGAGATGGAGAAATATCTGTATAAAGAGGAGCACCTTGAACTATAGCTATGGCAACAAGAATGACACTAAAGTCATTAGTAGTCTGTATAGTGACAGAAAATCGGAGATAATAACAGATGTAAGGTAAGTATAAGACTAAAGGGAAGAGGTTATTCTGTTAAAAAGAGAGTTATTTATTGCTAGCCTACAGCAAGAACTAATTATATGAGATAACGACAGCTATAGTAATAGATTCGGAATAAAAAGACAGGACAGAGTTGCTACCAGAGCAAACTTAGAGATTAAGGAAAGAAGATAAATATAATAATTGTAATATTGATAAACCGAGAAGAGGAGATCACTAGAATAGAGGAGCATATTTAAATAGCTGCCGCAAGGCTGGTAAGATTCAATATAGTAAAGAGATTTAAGACTTATATAACTGTAATAATGTGGCGAAAAGACAATCCTAGAAATAGACAAGGTTACTACCAGTCGAGCCATTAATACGACCGTAAGGAGACTACAAACAGACCTGTACTACTCCCGGTATCCCAAAGCCAGTGCTCTAGTGTTCTGGTCTCCATTCTGGGGGCTTTTAAGTTCGCCAACTACAAAAGATGCCAAGAAAAGCCATGGCAAGTCATTGCCCGGATGAAGATAAGTGCGGCGTAAGGCCGCGCCTTTCCTACCAACAGTCCCAGTTCTGCAGAGATGGAGGCCGTTTTACACCCATTTCGGATGCCATTCTAAAGCTTGAGGTGGATAATGGCCGGCCTGGACTTGGCTAAGCAACCGGTCACCCTTCTACCTGCCGTTACGGGCGCCTTCACTGACTGACGTTGCGCATTGTGTAGTACTGGGGGCCGAGGAGCGATCATAAATTGTCAGAAATCCAGTGTAGAACTGAGCTGACGAGTTCAGTTAGGCGGGCTATCTAAAATTAGTTACTCAATTCGATTTGTTTAATTTGAACACAATGTGTTTTCAGTGCGGTGGGTCTGGTGGATCTCATCTGTTGGTCTGAATTATTAGGCTGTGCAATTCCTCCTGTATGCGAACTCTCAGTGGTTGTTGGCGTGAGTCCGGTGAGATATCTGCAACTTTGGGCTAGCGAGACCTATTTCTGTTGCGTTGTTTCTTAGTGGGCTCTTATGCGCTACACGCTATGTTCTTTGCATGTGCTCTTTATAGAGCTCATCGACCCATGGGGCATCAGGCATCACAACAACCAATTTTGGGCCTTACATTGGGGCTTCTAAGGTGGTTTAGTCCAAGGGGGTTGGCCCCGGGACCGCATACCTAGTTTTATGTCTAATACCACACAGCGTACTCAGAGACAACCCATAAGGGTAATATACAGCATAGTATGCCGCTAAGCCCTGGCACAAAAGCTAGAATATATTGCTTAATAGCGATATATTTGAAAATACAGTATGGTTGGTGGTCCTGGCGGGAATTAAACCCGCGTCTCCTATATTTCTGTAGCGAGGCAGCCCAGCGCGTTGACCAATGCGCCACGGGACCTGTGGAATACATAAACGATATCTGTACCTCTGCCGCATATTGTCAACGGCGCCTGGGGAGGATGTCAAGCCTTATGTGGCATTTAAGTATCCCTGGAAGCTCGGAGTTGAATTGGCGAAAGGCTTGAGGAAAGACAAATCTGCTAGGACGGCGCTGGAAACGCCATGACTATGTTCTGAGCTGGGGAAACCAGTGGCAGCCGCAAAGGTTATTCACAAATTCAACGGTTCATTGGCGTCCTGAAGCCACATCGTGTCATGGAGATATTGTGGGGGAAGGCAGACTACCAGGCTCAGGGGCATGGGATGATTTCATAGTGCAGAATGGGACCAGAATACGGCCAGAGAGTACACCAAGTAGCATCGGAGTGCCGAGCAAATAATACTACTGCGAGGCATATGATACGGGCAAAGAAGACCATTTCGTATAAGTCACTCCGGTGTACCATATGGAGTGTATCTGCACCGACGCACATTTAACCACATTCTGACCAAGCCTTCGAGGCTATCGAGGAAAATGAACCCGTTCTTTGTGAAGATTGCCTCAGAATTATTGACACGTGAGCTACCGGGCAGAACTTGACATGAGACTCAGGTCAAACTGGACGGATAGTACGGGAAAAAGGGAATCTAATTTATTGGCCACGGACTGCGTACTATAGATTGACCATTTCTGACATGGAGGCAGGAGAAATGCTATTTAGAAAAGGTTGCTAAGGAAAGAATAACTGATTAGAGACCCTTTATACCGGCCCCCGGTGCTAGGGGAGCGTGTAACCCCCGTCTATCACAATGTTCGCGCCGGTCATGAAGCTACAGGCATCGGAAGCGAGGAATACATATGCCTGTTTTTTCAGCACACGGTCAATTTGCAATCCCAACTTCGAAAGCCAAGTCGTCCCAAGATAAGACTGAATGGAAGAAACAAGGGAGGACTTACACTCTTCAATTCGGCAGGGTCACATATCCTCTTACCGGGGGTCATATTGACCCATGTACTAAGCAACTCCTTGGGGCACGCGGCCAACACATCCGTCATAACGAACCCAGGAGAGATGGCGTTCACGCGTGCAAAGTCCGCCCATTCCACCGCTAGGCACTTGGCCAGGTGCACCACGGCGGCCTTGCTGGCACAGTACGTGGATATAGTCTGGGGGATATTCACAATACTCCCGCTGATGCTCGCCGTGAATATCAGGTTGCCTTTCCCCTGCGCCTTGAAGATCTTCCCCGCTGCCTGCGCCGTCCACATTACCCCGTCGAGGTTCGGACCATTGTTCGCCGCCCAGTCATCCTCGGTCACATCGAGCGCTAGGGCGATGGCAACCACTCCAGCGTTAGCCACGACGATATCTAGCCGACCGCGGCCAAACTCCTTGGCAATCCGCTGCATGGTCTCGTCGATGGCATCCTTTTTCGAGACATCACACTGGTACGTTTGCACCCGCCTCCCCGTGTCGCGGGAGATGACAGCCGCCGCCTCCTCGGCGGCTTGGTGAGAAGTTTTCCAGATAATGGCGACGTCAGCACCCGCCTCCGCAAGTCCACGGACGACTTCGAGGCCGATACCCTTGGCACCACCAGTGACGGCGGCAATCTTGCCGCTTAGGGAGAACTGATCGAGAACGGGGGTGTTGATGTTCTCGGGCTTGAAGAGAGGCATCGCGGAGAAGCTTTGATCCTAAAGAAGCGTGCAGGTGATGCCAGTAGTGGAGTTGATTATAGGGGAAATGACTAAATATCGGTGTAATAGCAGTATAGTGCGGTTTTGTTCATGACAGTTTGATTATATTTGCGTCGACGGAGTTGGACCGCCTTTATTTGTTATTGCTTCGATAGTGTATTGCTTCTGATTTGCCATCCCTAATGCCTACTGCTGGAACTTCTCCCCCCCCCTGACTGAATACTACATCAAACCGCTATAATTATTTACCTAGGTAGCAGTGGTTGTCTAACTTCCTCTGGTGTAGTGTGACACACTAGGGTGACATGGCAGGCGAACCCCCAGCCCCACAATTAACCCTATGTGTATTAATGCCCGCCACGCCATGTAAGCGGAAGGGTGGAGCAGCAACCTCGTTGATAATTAAGGTTTCCAAAAGCCGGCTCAGTCAAAAGTAACTTGGTGCCGACCCCGAGCACGGATCCCTGAAGGCCTATGAACTCTAGGATGCGGAGATCTCTACGTGGTCAGTGGATCTGAGTCTAAATCCCCGAGTATGACAAAATCATTTGATTCACATGTGCGTGATTTCGTTTAACATGCTGCATGCAAGTCCGAGACGAGAGCGGTTGTATCCAAACACCCAACAGCCAGATACAACCAAGGCAAATGCACGGATTCTTTAGAGGAACTTTTTCCGTCATACGTACTATTTTTGTAAATCCCAGTAATGCTAGACCTTGTTACTGCTGCTTCAGATTGAATCCGCAAAACAGAGCCATCATGAACGTGAAATCGATCATTGAGAACCCACCTTTCAAACTCAACGAAGATGACATAAACGCCTTGCTGGGACGATTCGGTGAATTCGAACCCTATGATTGGGCGCAGCTCAAGAACATCATTGGTATTTCCCGCCTACCTACGGATCCTTGGCGAGCTCATTGCATCGTACTAAACCGTACTAGCTACAGGCGACATGGGCATACTTCGACGAAGTCCACGAGAGCTTCGAAACTATATTTTTTGGTACTCCACAGTCGCAAAACAATATGGTTCCGTTGCCGAGTTCGTGCGACGAGAGAGGCTCACGTGGGAATACCCAATTGTCGCCCGGGATGCCGCTCTATTCGAGCACCCTGATGACTACAAAATAATCCGGAACGATTGGCCTTACGGGCTGGCCGAGGGAATCACTCATCTTGTGATCTGGTCCAAGGTCAGGATCCCCATTGATCCTGGTACAAGCCTCCCCACGACAGAGGCCGCGGCGGCTATAGAGACATTTTTGCGGAGGATTTTCGACAAGGGCCTTGGGGCTGACTTCGACGAGAACGTCTTGTGGTTTAAGCAGAAGGCGGAGTGGCAGAGTGTGAAGGCTCTGGATCATATTCATGTAATGGTGCGGGGCGTCGCAGAGAGTGAGCTTGATGTCCTGACGGGCACGACGCGACAGCAGATTCTGTCAGAGCAGGTCGCGAAGGGTGGCATGCGTAGCATCCTTCCAGCACCAAGCATCTGATATTCACATGAAACGGCGCAACCGACTACCTGTTAGATGGATACATCCCTCTTGTTTCCTTGGCTACAGTCTAGAATCAGGACGAGATACAAAAAATGAATGCAAGTTCCGGATAACTTCATCTTGCTCCGCCTCTCCTAACTCATGATAGATTGGCAAACGTACCAGTGACTCACTCCCGTGGCTCGTATGGCGATCTTCGCCAACGAACCTCCCTATTCGCTTGCCAATAGATGACAGGTGTAGCGGTGTATAGTGAGGAGACACTGCAACTCCGTTTTGTTTCATATGAGCTATCAAATTCCCCCGACGCTTGGGATCTCGTAGTTTGATATCTTCTCAATGTACCTGTCAGCTTTCCTGGTGTGATACAGAGCCTGAACAGCGGGGAATTGAAGAAGCTAACAATATATATGACCGTTGCACTCGCAGCCAGGCGGGACGCTGGGGACGTCAAATTCGCTGCTCTCAGCTGCCATTTTCTGGAGTTTTGCATAGTACTTGTGCCAGATCTCACGGCGCTGCTTCTGAATGATATCGGCCAGTTCGAGATGTGACCACAGTAGAGAGGCAAGACACTCCGACAGGACATAGTTTGAGCCTACATCCTGCCATTCGTACTGTTGGATCTCTCCGCGGAGGAATTGCACCCTGTTTGTGCCGTTGTCGTAGATAACCTCTGCACGGTCAACCAGTTCTCGCTGGTTGATGAGAACGGCTCCTCCTTGGCCACCAGATGTGAAATTCTTGGTCTCGTGGAAGCTGAAACACCCAATGTGGCCGATTGTCCCTGAGAACTTGCCGTGGTACTTGGAGGTGAGACTCTGCGCCGCATCCTCGACCACCACCAGGCCGTGAAGAGTGGCAAGGTCCATAATCTCGTCCATCATACAGGAGATGCCGGCATAATGGACGGGGACTAACGCGCGGGTCCTTGTAGTGATGGCTGCCTCAATTTTGGACACGTCGATGTTCATTGTCTTTTCTTCAATGTCGACGAAGACGGGCACGGCACCTCTGGCAACAAACGCGTTGACGGTAGACACGAACGTGAAGCTTGGGAAGATGACCTCGTCGCCTGGTGAAATATTCATCACCATGGCTGCCATCTCCAGGGCTGCCGTGCCAGAAGGCACCAGAAAGGCCTTGCCCTCCAGCATCATGTCTTCGAGCCATCGCGTACAGAGCTGTGTCCACGGCCCCTGGCCCACCAACCTCCCAGATTGGAGGACCTCTTGAAGGTACCGAACCGAGTTCGGCGGCAAGAATGGTTTTGAGAGGGGTATCATTTTGCCCTAGACGTGATTGGCTTGATGTACAGTGGTCCAAGAGGATTTGAGATTGAATCGCGCTGGGTGTCTTGGAAAATACCTAGATAAGAACGGCTCAAATCGAGTTCAACAGACCCCAATACTGCCCACGATTGTGAAGATCGCCCAGTGGGTCGATCCCACCTCGACCAAGGTTAATTATGTAAAAGGAGCCAAACATGTCTAGATCGATGTACATCACATCTAGCAGAAACTCTCGCCTTGTTTGGGTAAAAAGCAAGTGAATCCCAGTGCTATTGGCGTCTAAGCAATTTAGCATTTGTTTTGCAGAAACGTGCGATTGCTTTAGGGTTTAGATGAGTATCCGGATGTACACAAAGTTACTCTCACGGAGCCGAGGAGTGAGCGGCGAATGAGTCAAGAAAGGGGCAAAGAGGGACCAGCCGACGGGGAGAGGGGGAAAATACTCGATCTCGATCTCATACACTTGAATCATAGATCGATGGCCAGGTCAGAAAGCATGGAACAGGGTACGGCGGCTTTCA